CAGACGGTGGAAAGACACATTTAGGAAAACTGTAACTGTTTCTTTTAGTGCCTTAGGGAAGCTGAATTTCTTGCCATGAGCTTGTGAAGTCTGCAGATGTTTTTTCCACATATAGCTTCACGTGGAGATGTGCTTCTGAGGTGTATAGATCTAGCTATCTGTCTAAAATCATCAAAAATATTCATTCTATAAAATGGGTTACTATAGTAAACAGCAGCCAGTTCCAGAATTGAATAGTTGAAAGAAATGCATGAAGTACATTTATATTAAGTGCTTGGAGGCAGAGTGATAAGGTAACTTCTAAGACTGTCTGTTTTACAACTGTGTATAAACTAAAAATCCATGGCCAGTGGTCACCACGCACACTAAGTAATTACTCACAGATCCGTCTGTTGGGTTGATGGTGTCGTAAGTCTTTCCATCATCAGCATCTGTGAACTCTCCATTTATGAAACACTGATATGGCATTTTTACTGTCATTTGATTGACCTCCTTTGAAACCTAAGAAAGAGAATTATATTAATAGAGTCAGTGGATTTCTGTGCTTATGCATTTGATACCAAACAGCAATAAAGAAGCTTATTCACTAATGCAGAGGGAAAAGTCAACGGGATTCTAGTTCCTACTGTCCAGGAGAGACAAGCATATGTAAGATTTGGGCCTCAAGATGCTCAGATTGGCCACTGAGGTCAGAGGTTAGCATCTGTGATGACGGAACTGCTAGAAGCTGGGCTTCGCAAAGATCTGATTTTCTCCATTGTACAGATGAAAGATCACTCAAAAGACCTCCAGACAATGGAAACACCACCATCTAGTGGCAATATCTATGCAGTGCAGCCATTGCTTTCATTTAAAACCCTGAAATTGGCTTTGTCAATAGGTTTTCTTTTACACTGGTGCCAATTTAAGTTTTCTTTCCTTATGTTCCTCCCCATTTTCACTTTCTCTTACATATGTGTTGCCTAAATTGTACTCTCTGCTATTAGCTAACAGATGAATTCAGGTTAGTCCATTAACCTCTATGAACTTCAGTTTTTTCAACCATAAAGTATGATACCCGCTTTTTACAATTATTATGAGGAATAATTGAGATAATATATGTGAAACAGCATTATTGGCATAAAATTTTATATCAATGCAAGACATTAAAAAGGAAATTTAATAATTTAAAAAATCATTTCATCTAGAGAAATTGATGATGCTTAAAAACGAAACAAAAAATAGCAAGAGGGTGTCTTGCCTTATCCCATAGCAAGCACTCATGTTTCATGAAATATTTCCATTGTGTTTATGTAGGATATAATGAAGGAAACTTAATCTGAATTGATGTGTTCAGTCCCCGCATATAGTCCAGTTTTCTAAACTCATCATTCTGGGAATATGCTAAGTGTCTTACTTGTATTATCTAATTTGATTCTCTCAACAATCTTATAAGGAGATATTATTATTGTCCCATTTAACATATGAGGAAACTGAGGCTTAGAGGAGTTAAGGAACTTGCCAAAGTTCACACAGCTAGCAAGCAGTGTTACTTGGATTCAAATCAAGGTTGGTCTGACTCCAAAATTCATGGTCTTAACCAGATGATGCTAAACTGCTTTCCAAATTTACCTAAATTTTATTAAAAACAAATGGATGAGGAGCACTTCTGGAATAGTAAATTAAGGATCTCTGAAAAATCCACTCCTTCATAAAAGCAATGAGATCACTACAAAATATTATCAAAATCATTTTTCTCAGAACTCTGGAAATTAATCAAAGGCTTCAAAGAATCCATTTATTCAAGAAAAATAGATGAATCTCTATAGGAATAGTGAGCTTTGTGGTATATTAATTTGCCCTATTCCCATTTCTCTTGATGCTTTGCAGTAACTTGAAAACCAACATCTTTGCAACTATGGTAGCTGTGAAAACCAGCAGCCTGTTAGCCACTGGAGAGGAAAAATGCGTCTGGAGCTCTCCCAAAGCCTCATCCCCAGAGAGTTATTACTATTTGGCCTGGAAGTTCTCTGAAAAGCTCCATTCTCAGGGCTTGTCTTTATTTGACCTGACTCAGAGTTGGCTGTGCACAAACAGCCCTATCCCTTGGGTATTGTCCAAAATAATCAGTGGCAATTGTTTAACATTGCAGCTGCCTGAGGCAGTAATACCAATTGGGAATAACAAATGGGTGATGAAAGAACTTAAAAGGAAAAACAGGCATGAGATATCCATAGGAAGCTTTAAAGAAGCTCTGGAATATTCCTGGGAACCTAGAAGGCCAACACATGTGCAGAACTTATGCATGTGCCCAGGAAAGACCCGAGAAAGCCCTAATCTCTTACCTCTGGCTGACCTGAGGCTCTGTGCAAGCAGGAAGTGTGTGAAGACAAAGGCAGAGCTGTAACAGCCTGCTGGCGCTTTAAAGGTATATTCCAACACACTAGAGTCTCTCATTAAAGGCTAGGAGACTTAATGGTTCAAAGAATTTAAGGACATCTACATCCAATCATTAACTGACCACTAAGTTAACGAAGCAGAGACTTCCATGATGGCAAACAACAAAGATAGGCTTTACAGAATTAGTCCAAGAAAGTCACTAAACAGAGAAAAAGCAGCAACAACAACCAGCAACTACAACAATCCCTGCGAAGGTAGGGGGGATCTGATTTCCAGAGTTGCCACATTCTATTATTTAAAATGGCCAGTTTTCAACAAAAGATTATAAGATATGCAAAGAAACAGGAAAGAACGGCTCATACACAGGGAAGAAAAGCAGTCAATAGAAACCATCTCTGAAGAAGCCTAGACATTAGATTTATTAGACAAAGATTGTAAATAAGCTTTTATAAATACGTTCAGAGGACTAATTCTTTATGTCTAAAGAATTAAAGGAAAGTAAGAGAACAATGTCTCATCAAATAGAGAATATCAACAAAGAGATAAGAATTATAAAAAAAGAACCAAACAGAAATTCTGGAGTTGAAAAGTGCAATAACTGAAATTAAAAAATTCACTAGAGGGGCTCAACAGTAGATTCAAGGGGGCGGAAGAAAGAATTAGCAAACTAGACAATAGGTCAATAGAGATATCCGGTCTGAGAAACAGGAAGGAAAAAGAATAAAGAAAAATGAACAGAGACTCAGAGGCCTGTGGGACACCATCAGATGCACCACCACACGCGTAATGGGAGTCCCAGAAGGAGAGGAGAGGGGAAAAAGGGCAGAAAGAATATTTGAAGAAATAATGGCTGAAAATGTCCCCAATTTGATTTAAAAAAAAATTAATCTGCACATCCAAAGAGCGCGTCAAACTCCAAGTAGGATAAACTCAAAGAGATCCATCCTAGACATATCATAATGAAATGGTCAAAAGCCAAAGACAAAGAGGGAACCTTGAACGCAGCAAGAGAGAAGCAACTCATTGCATAGAAGGGATTCTCAATAAAATTAACAGATGACTTATACTTAGAAACCGTGGTGGCCAGAAGGCAATAGGATGACATATTCAAAGTGCTAAAACAAAAAGACTCAATGAAAAATTACATATACAGCAAAAATATCCTCTAAGAACAAAGAAGAAATTAAATTCTTCCCAAATGAACAAAAACTGAGAGAATTGTTAGCACATTGCCCTTCAAAAATACTAAATGGTGTTCTTCAGGCTGAAAGGAAAGAACACTAGACAGTAACTTAAATCTACACGAAGAAATAAAGAACACTGATAATGGTAAATATAAAAGTCAGTATAAATGTATTTTTGTTTTTATCTCTTCTCTTCTCCTATCTGATTTAAAAGACAGCTGCATAAAGCAATAATTAGAAAACTATATTGGTAGGCTTATAACATATAAAGACGTAATTTATATGACAATAATAGCACAAGTGAGGGGGTAGGGAGCAGAGCTATATTGCAGCAAAGTTTTGCTGTACTATTGGTATTAATCTGAATTAGAATGTCTTAAGCAAAAAAGTCCATTGTAATCCTCAAGGCCACCACTAAGAAAATAACTAAATATATATAGTAAAAGAAACAATGAGGGATTAAACTGGCATACCAGACAATATCCATTTAACACAAAAGAAAGCAGTAAAGGAGTAGAGGAGCCAAAAAGGCATTAATCAAGACATATAGAGGCACAAGTGGCAAAAGAACAATAGATAAATGAGATTTAACCAAATTTTAAAACTTTTGAGCGTCAAAGGAGTGTATCAAAAAAGTGAAAAGAAAGCCCACAGAATGGAGAAAATATTTACAAATCATAAATCTAATTAGGGTCTAGAACCCAAAAAATACAAAGGCCTCTTACAACTCAATGATTAAGGCAAATGTCCCAACTAAAAAATAGGCAAAGGATTTGAATAGACATTTCTCCAAAGAAGATATATAAACGGCCAATCAGCGCATGAAAAGATGCTCATCGTGAGTCATCAGGGAAATGTAAATCAAAACCACAATGAGATATCACTTCACACCCACTAGGACAGCTAAATTAGAAAAGACAGGTGATGGCAAATGTTGACGAGGATGTGAAGAAAGTGGAAGATTCCTACATTGCTAATGGGATTGCAAAATGGTATAGCCACTTTGGAAAACAGTTTGGTAGTTCCTCAAAAAGTTAAACATAGAGTTGCCATATGACTCATCAATTCTACTCCTAGATATATACCCAAGGAAACTGAGTACGTATGTTCACGCAAAAACTTATACATGAATTTTCATAACAGCATTGTTTACAATAGTCAAAAAATAGAAACAAACTGAATGTACATCAACTGAGGAATGGATAAACAAAATGTGGTGTAGCCACACAATGGAATATTATTTGGCCAGAAAAAGGAATGGAGTGATAATATACTCTACAACAGGGATGAACCTTGAACCATTATGCTAAGTGAAAGAAGCCAGATGCAAAAGGCCACATATTGTATAATTTCATTTATATGAAATGTCTAGAATAGACAAATCCATAGAGACAGAACGTAAATTAGTGGTTTCTGAGGGCCGGGGGCCGGCAGAGGAGAGCAGAGAATGATGGCCAATGCATGCAGGGTTTCTTTTTGTGGTGACAAAAATGTTTCAATAATCAGATGGGGTGATGGTTGCACAACTGTCAATATACTAAAAATGACTGAATTGTACATTTTAAAAGGGTGAATTTTATGGTATCTGAATTATATCTCAATAAAACTGTTACTTTAAAAGGGTTATAAATATAAAAACAAATGGATGAAAGGCACAGAATCCTCCTATAGTATATGGATCTTGATGCAGATTTTAAACACCGCGGAAAAGCTTACATAATCCACCACCAGCTCTGCTTCTTGATCTTCTCCTCTCAGTTTCCTCACGACTTTTTGGATGAAGTCTTCAAACTTGGTGGCCATATAGACATCTTCGTTCTGTAACTGAAGCCCACCACACTTCTGTCTGATCTCTTCAACCAGCCTTAAAGTAAGAACCAACTCATGTTACTCACATTTTTTAAAGGGTTTAGGGGGACTGTATTATTACATTTGTCAAGTTGCTTTGAAGTAACACTTATGTCACATGCCTATTTATATCCTATGAGATCTTCTATGATAATAGTCAGAGAAATTGATAAAACTGGGAGAGAAAAAATTAAAAAGTGTTCTAGATGAACAGTGGCAATCTCTTCTGTTTTTAACTTTATACATGACTAAAAATAAAAGAAATCAAGGCAAAAACATTTTAATTACCTGCAAGCAAGATAATAAGGGGCACATAAAATCAGCTCCTTTCCTTTCAAATGTATTCAAGGAATAAGAAATAAAGGAAATTTCCTAACTGTAAAGATTATGAGAAACAAAGGTCATATTGTAGAATATTTTCTCTAGATCATGTGTAAGAATAAAACAAACATTTGTTTGTATGACATGGTTAATATAGGTACTAACGAGAATCAGGCAGCAGGTCAATATAATTTTTGAAGTCCTTTCCAATCCTTTGATTTTTCACCATTAATTTTTCAAATTACAGCTGTTATTTGACATTTCTTGAATAGCACTGGTGTACTAGATACAGTATAGAAAGCCTACCACAGTTGCTGTTCAGTGATTTATTCTCTAAAAGAGATGAGGTGCCTTGGTAGTTCAAGACAATAGTATCAGATGATTATGCTAAGTCATACACTCAAACAGGAAATGCGTAGTTCCTGCAGGAATATCTTGCTAGCAAAAAAATAATATTAAAAGTACGGTATTGAAATCTTTAGTTGAGCAAATTAGAAGTTTCCAGGAGCTCATGAATCATAGCTGAGAAATCTCTAATTTGAGGAACCAACTCTCTTGACTTCTGACAATGATATTTGCTCTTGAAATGATCACTTTTTGATTACTGGAACAAAAACGCTCCATGAATGAAGGGACTCTGTCTTGTTCATGACTGTATCCCCAGTGCAAAAACTGTTCCTAATATGCAGTAAGTGTTCAATAAATTTTGTTAAATAAATGAGTGAATAATGAATAAACAGAATATTCATCAAGCAATTGATCAAAGCAATATTTCCTTGCTTTGTCGAAAGGAAGGATTATGTCAAGCAGAGTAACATTCTTTACCCTGTTTAATTAGTGAATGGCCATAGTGTGCCTCTCAAAGAAAAAACACCTCTGCAAGACTCTCTGCTATTAGGATCCTGGAACACTGTTGGTGCCATGGTGGGTCTGGGGTGGAGGGGAAGGTTCTAGGACTTCCAACTTGAGGTAAACCTCTGTAGAGAAATTCTGACTATAGGGTGATTGTCCTTACTCTTACAAACAGCCTGATAATCCTCATTCTAGATATACCATCCTGGGTAATTTGGGGGGATAAGAAAAAAAGATTTGGTGGAAGAGTGATCAATGTTAGGTATCCTTCTGGATCAGACCATATAGGAAATTCCCAATGAACATTCTCACTCAGAGCTCCCCAATTCCAACATCATATTGGAGGAAAATCAGCTAAGAAATATAAACACAAAATTTTAAAAGAAACAAACAATTAGAAGGGTTGGTTTTCTAGGTATATAATAAATATGAAAACAACTCTTAGTTAGCAATAAAGAGAAGGGAACAAATATATGAGTTTGACCACGGAAACAAACAAACCAAAAACGATGAAGAAAAGAGAAATATAGTAGATGGGTAGGATAGAGTGATAACATCCAGAGACAAGGATTTGGATTTGATCCAAGTCCAAGTCAAAATCCCCGGTGGAGGGGTATGGGTCAATCAGTGGTGATTTTACCTGACAACATCCATTGATCTTGCTCCAGATTTAAAGAAGTCTGTTGAGTTTTCAATAACAGGGATGTTGCTTAAAATTCCAGCCCAGATGATCTACACAAGGGAAACTTTTATGAGGCAAGTACCATGTAGAACACTGTGGCAGAGATTAGCTAGCTCCTCACCAAACCTATCTCTTCTTCATCTTGGATACATGGCTTGATGACGCTTCTCAGCCTCTCTTCAAGCCAGATGCAGCTGTGAGACTGACTTCTAGCCAATGAATATGAGTGGAAGTGACCTGCATTCCCAGTCCTGGCCCATGAAACACCTCCCTCACACAATTCTCTGTGTTTTTGCACCCTCTTGGTTGTCGGGAGTGGAGATGACCTCCAGGGTGATCTTGAAGAGAGTAGAGCCTGGGCCCCTGAATGACTCCATCCCTCATCCTCATGTTGCAGCTTCACCCCTAACCCCCCTGCCAACCTAGAACTGCCTTGGATTATTTATGTGAGTGAGAAATAAATTTGCATATACATTTTGGCGTTGATTTCCTATTGCAGCTAATACAAAAAAGGAAATAAATTTCCATCCCCACTACTTGGAGGACTGACGGTACCAGTTACAAAAACGCTTAAGTTTTCCAAGGTAAGAGTAATATAAAGGATATCAAATGTTCACCTTAATGGTCTCTGCCACCTTCAACTCTTCGGCTGTAAGTTCTACCACTGATGTCTCTCCCGCTGAAAAGTACTGGGAGGCAGGAATCATTTTTCCATCTTCGAACTGCAGATTTCTTACCATCAGCTACAAAATAGCAACAAAACAAGTGGCAGAATTGAGGATTATGACAATTCAAAAGTAAGATTGGTGGGAGAAGGAGCCTTGTATATTATATGGATATAAGGACCAGCTTATCTGGAAAATACAAAAACAGGGATTAAATCACCGTTATGTGTAAAAGAACTGAAATGGCATTCCAATAAAGGCAGCAGAAAGGATAAGTTAAGTCTAGGGGTAGATACATCTCAAAACGGATAATAAGCCCCTGAAAATTTGACATTTGGATGTAGGTATTTGGACTAAAACCTACCATAACTCCTATTAGTACTACTGCTGCCATCATTTGAACATGTACTCTGTTCCATGCACCGGGCTAAGTAGGTATGTATGTGCTGAAGTTTCTTACTCAATCTCATAAATCCTGATGGAGGCTGGTGCCACTCTTATCCCCATTTTAGTGAGGAGGCAATGAGGTTAAGTAATTTGCCCAATGCCACACAGCTGGTGAGTAACAGAGTTGGGGTTAGAACCCAGAACTAGCTGGACTCAAAAGCCTAAAATCTCAGTAACTGATCTATCCTGAAAGCTACCAGAAAGCAGCTGTGAGCTGCAAATTCCATTTCGCTTTCTTCATTGTGAAGTTGCATGAGGGCCCACAGAGGCCCAGAGCCTACACTCCCAAGCACAGGCCATGTAGGTGGGTGCATGCCGCGTGAGGCAAAGGCAATGAAGAAGGCCACATCCATCTCATTCGATCCTCCCAGACTCTGGCAGTGGGGAGGCAGACAGACAAGATCACTCTCTCTGTTTTACAGATAGGGAAACTGAGACTCAGAGGGGAGAGGCATCCTGCCTAAGACCAGTAAGTGGCAAAGCCACTGTTTCCTGACTAAATTCCAAGCTCTTTCTACCGTATCACAGAGCAGACAGTGCAGGTCCTTGGGGCCCATCCTGGGAAGGCTTGTCCTCATCAAGGCACATAGACCCAGCTCATCCCCAGAGAGAAATGGGGCACAGATATCTTGAGCCTCCCATATCCCACTGCAAAGCCAGATTACCTTGTGAAAGCTATTCCCTTAATAACTTGGGTTATAGAAGGAAACCAAAAAAGTTATTTTATAGGTGACCATATTGAACACTCACTGCTTTTCCATCGTTACCAAAAAGAACAAGTCCGTTTTTGGTAACAAGACCAGGCTTCTTGGCACCTTTAATTTCCAGTGGTTCTCCAGGAGGCACGGAGCTATTCAGTAACGATGAGCCATAGAAAGTGACCATCTAATAAAGAGACCAAACTCAGATTGTGAAATAAAGAAGGCTGTTCACAGGGGTGTGTGCAAGCAGGACTTCCTGAAAAAAAGCTGAAGTTGGAATCATCATTTATTATAAAATTGGGACACCCCAATGTGAGAGACTATATCAGGCATCTGTAGAAATGACACAAAGCAAGAGATAGTCTGAGAATGTGTGATTGAAGAGTTTAAAACATGTCCCACATCCAGGTGACACAAGTACCCATTTATCACTTATTTACATCAATACAAAGGGGAATGATAAAAAGCTCTCACAGACTTTGCAGCCTGACGGTAGGGTTTCTGGAGGACGTGGAGGTGTTGGTGGGGGTCAGCGAGGGCAGAAGCAGAGTAGTAAACAGACATTACAATGCAAAGAGATGCATGATGGGAAGTACAGGGTCCTTTGTGGGTCAGTTCCTGGAAACAGACTAGATACAGACTGTAACCAAGAGAACTGGACAGTAATCAATTTGTTATTATAATTATTGTTATAATTCTACGACTATCCACTATCATTTATTGAGCACTATAAGAGTTAACATTTATTGAATACTTATTCTATGCCAGGGACTAAGTACTTAAATGAATTAACATGTATTAACTCATTTAATCTTCACAATAACCCATAACCTATAAAGGAGGCACTATTATTAGTCTCATTCTACAATGAGGAAACCAAGGCACCCAGTGGTTAAGTCACCTGCACAAGGTTACACACCAAATAGTGGCAGAGCCAGAATTTTAATGGAAACATTCTGGCTTCAGATCCCACACTCTTAACCACTGCACTAAACTTCCTCCCTTGGTGCCTCATGGATCCCACATATTTTTTGTTGGCACCTAACATGCACTGAGAACCCTGCTTCAGTGCTGAGATTATCAAGACAATAACATGAAGCCCTTGCCCCCAAGGGGCTCATAGTCTATTGGAGGGAAAGGGATAGGTAAATAAAGAGACATTTACAATACATAATATGCTATGTCAGAGGTAGGCAGAGGGTTGTTGGAATAGAGAGGAGGGACACTAAATCCCATCAGGCTGGGTGTGTGAGGTCAGAAAACTTCCTAAAGAGGTGAAACCTGAGAATCTGAGTTGAGTTGGGATTCCCCAGGGATTGGAAGGCCCACCTTCCCTGCCTCATCTCTCCCCACGCCTCTCACATCTGCTCCTCAGACCTGCGGCTCCAGCTTCACTGAACTCTTCTGTGAGTCCTTGACTGTGTAATACACCCTATCTCTGGGTCTTCATCTCTTTGTCTCTTCTTAAAGAGACAAAGTTGACCTCTTCTTAAAGTGCAAGCAAAGCAGTCAGCTTTTCTAGGAGGTCTTTCCTAACACACTTGATTCTGGGCCACAATGATAATATTTGTCTAACTGTATTACAAGTGTTTACTCACTTTTCTGCTTTCTCCATAAAATTGCAGTTTCCTTGAGAGCTGAAGCTGTGCCTAGTGTCTACTTCACAGCAAATGCTTGATACATGCAAGTAAAGAGGAGGCTGTTTTCTTTTAGCTGGTCACATAAACCTAGAATCAGAGGCCCTCCTCATGACCAAGAGAAGGACCAGAGGAAGCCTAGACTTACACGTAACACCTCTTACAAATGCAATATGAAAAAAAATAATTGGTCTCTAGAAAATACCTGTCCGTTTATCTCTGTCCAAGCTCCAGGGACTTTATCATGACCTCGGATCCAGTTATGTAAAACTTCAGCAGATTGATCCCAAGAAATCTAGAAACACACAAAGCACAGGCTGAGCTTCCTAATGCTGTGAGTCTCAAAGGCAACAGAAACATTTGTCTCCATCAGTGGCAGATGTGGGTAGGGGTGTGGCAGGCTGGCTTGAGATCTACCTTTTGGTAAGGAAACGGTACATTGGGAACTACTTAAAGGTAGAATGCCATGAACTTTCAGATGTATTATTGAGTTGATATAAATACCTCAGCATTTTCCTTTTTCTGGATACCTTCATATGTTGCCCCTTCTTCTGGCTGGGGAATACGAGGAGCTTTTCCATCAGCTATGAGTTGGACAGCTTCCACCTAAATCCAAAAACATTACCAGTGTTAGAACCCAGTGGTCAATGATGGCATAGTCTGTTTAACTGAAGTTTCTATTTAATAGAATTGCTACGTACAAATCTGGCCAGAGAGTCAGACTCTGATAATAACTACTTTCTTCAGATCCACCTATGTGCCAGGCAGTGTGGTAGCTACTCTATGTAAAATATCCCTTGTAACATCACACCAATCCTGCAAAGTGGATATTATCATTCCTATTTTACAGATGAGGAAACTGACGCTTAGAAAATTTAAACAACTAACTCAAATCACAGAGATAGCTTGTAGGTGTCAGAAGTGGGATCTGCATTCAGGTCTATCTACTGCTGACATCAAGCTTGTACTCTTAAAAATGACTCCCTTGTTTAAACAAATTTCAACCTCCTCTTGGTGACTCAATGGAAAGTTCAGGAATATAATTGTAAAATAAGTCATTGTGGGTTGTTTCTGCTCATCATAATGATTCCAGAAAGTGATCCATTGTTATATTTAAGGAATTCAATTTGCTTTCTAGCTTAGGACACCTGGAATAAAAAAATGCTAAAATCTATCCATGAGTTTGATGGTCTTTGGGATGTGTCCTGCGTTCCCTTCCGAATCGTACTTATATTTGCCTTGAGTTGAGAGCCTGTCTCCTTCACTGGGAGGCCTAGATGAGCTTGAGTTCTGAGATTTCTCTCTAAGTACTCACTGATGCTGACCAACCTCCCCGAGAGGGAGGGAGCCACCTGGGAACAGGGTCAATTCCACCCACTTCTGGCTATAATATCATCAGGTACAGGATCCGAGCTTGAGCAAATGCCACTGAACACACAAAGTACTATTTTGATTGTAATGATCATTGTGAGCACCTACTGTGTGCCACATCCTTTACACAAATGTCATTTAATTTTCACATCCAGCCTATAAGCCAGGCAGTATTATCCAAATTTTATAGGTGAGGAAACCAAGGTTAAAGAGGCCAAGTGACTTTCCCATTGTCATACAAAAAATAAGTGGTAGAATGGGACGTTTGGTGACTTTCTGACACCAAAGCCCTACTCTCTTAATCATTAAACGACACAAATCAAGCACTGCTCTCCTCCCTGCTAAATCAATAGCTGCTGCTTTATAGCATCTTACTGTCCATCTCTGTGTTGCTACTTCTACCACATCAAACTCTGGAAAACATTCAATGACACTGAAATTATCTTTCAATATTTTTATAAGCTAATATATTTTCACTTTGTAGTGTACACGCTTTGAGCTTTTTATCCAGAGCACATCTGAATAAATAAAGCAACACCAAATTTCACCCTGTTACCTAGACTGATTTCAAATACTTTTGAAGAAAGTCCAAATTACATGGTAAAATTTCTTAAGATTCTGTACACTTCTTTATGATACGAGGTAAAGGGTTGGAGAGTCAAGTATTTGGTAAAATAAATGAACAGTTTGATGGCTCCTTCATCCATTTGATCACCACTCTCAGAAGAACAAGTCAGCTTCATAGACTAAGAAATTTTAAAGTTCAGATTTCCACCCTAAATATACCACCCTATTGGTAAATATAAAATCTAATTTTGTTTTTCTGCTTTATATTTTTAGTAAAAATCCAAATGAGCAAATTCTCAATAAAAGAAAAATATTTCCAAAACTTTAAAGTTTTACTAAAGTCTTCTTGATGGCCTAAGTATACTGACCATGGCCTTGATTCCTTCAGGATAAAGGAATCGATTATAAAGTGCATCCACTGTATCATTGGGTTTGATATCACATGATCTCTGAAGAAGGATGGGTCCTGTGTCTAAACCATCATCAGCCCAGAAAACAGAAAATCCAGCTTTCTTATCTCCCATAATGAGAGTCCTGTGAAAAGAAGAGTTTCAACTTAAAATGTTGGTTAACTGTATCATAAAGTGATGGAGATGTCAGCACGCATACAAAGCAGTACTTAATGGTACTGTTATTTTACACATCCTCTTATCTGTAGTCTTTCTTGTTAACACATACTAATGACTTATAGTCTACTGAAAAAGGCATTAGAGTCCATCATTCCTACCACTCACTGATTCCCACGTGTTGGCTTTCTACTGCAGCATCAAGTAATTTTGCCCACCCAGGTCCAATTCCTACATGGTAATTGACCCTGTATTAGGCGGAATAAGATAATGGAAGACATAACAGAGGATACTCAGTACCATGTAAAGAGGAGAACTGATTAACTTAGGTCGTGTAATTCAGGTATAAACATCACTTAAAGGTACAATTAGCTCTAGATTTTCTGTGTAAATTGTGGTAAAAGATGATTGGTGAATTCAGTTATTTGTATTTTGTTCTCTATAAAGCATAGCCTAGGAAAATACTGGCCCTACAGGAGCTTATAATACATACAATAAGCTGGATATGTGGACAAATACATATAGAAGCATATCAGAGAGTGGGCTACTATAGACAAAGTATGAAGTTGTAGGTCAGCCATGCTCATGATCTAAATCATTTTTACTTCTCTGAGCTACTAATTAAGCAAGCTCTAAATCAATCAATCCATCACTCTTTTCAGAAATATTGAGGAATTAACTGGCATTATGTTATCAAGAGCCTTGAAAAAATTCATATACGTTGACCCAATGATTTTGCATGTGGAAGCAATGTGAAACAAGAAAAAATACAAGTTTAAGTACAAAGATATCCACCACAGTATTATTTACTGAAGCAAAAAAGAAATCAACTCATGTAATCAGACTTTAAATACAATGAAGTGTTTTTCATCACATTTAAATGAAGTGTAGATTTTCTGTCTATTTAATAACTTGACACTGAGAGATATCAGGGAGATGTGCAGGTAAAGCAGAGAAGGGAGAGAAGGTGGGAAAGGCCCTCCTCAACCCACAGCACAGTGTACCTATGGTATCGGGTACCTACATGTACCAGGCATTGTTCTCGATACTGGGAAATACAGCAATAAAAATGTTAGAGCACACTCCCTTCTTCCCTCAAGAAGCTTCAAGTTGAATGGCAGAAGACAGACAACAAAGAAGATCATTTCAGGTAATTCAGCATTTCCTGAAATGTACTTGAGATGTTTCATGCAAAAAAAGTTCTGTGGTCAAATAAGTTTTAGAACACTGGGTACTCAGATTCCCTCTTGGAGATTATGATGCTCACATTAAAGCACATATCAAAAGCTTTAAGAAGTCCTGCGATAAAGAAATCCCGCATAAAGCAAACTTGTCTGACCATAGAACCTTTGTTTGCTCAATACCTAGTTACATCCAGTGGAGCCAGTACTCCATACACTATTCTTGGGGAATGCTGAGCTGGCTTATGCAGTACCTCTAGATCTCAAGGGAGTTCGTGCAATAGTAGCAATCAATCAGGACCTCACAATTGTTCAAGCAGACCTAGTTCCTTGATCACCTAGGTAAAAACAGAAAGATTACAGACAATAGAAATAGGTCCATCTTCTCTGTTGTTAAAAATATCTCACCAGTTGATAGCAGAGGCTCCTCTGTGCCTGGGAAGGATGGACGGGTGATAAATGATGGAACCGTGCTTTGGGCTGTCAATTACATCCATGGGGATGAACTGCGTGCAGAAGGGAAGCACGTTGAGCTCAGCACCCACGGATCTGTAGGCATCTGCCACCTCCTTTATGGTCTTGCCTTTCACTCTCCATCTAGGGAACTTGAACACAGGGGTCCCATCTTTCTCTGCAGCCAAAGCTGAGCATGAAAGAGAAGATTATTTTCATCAAAAAATTTTAGCCATAATTTTATATTGCTATGGATTCACACACTGTAATTTTACAGCTTCATGAAACATTTACAAATAAAACATGGTGAAGAACAATTTAGATTCGGACCAGGATTTGACCTGTTATAACTTTATCATGATCCATCCACTTTCTAATGTGATTTTTATCTATATATTTAAAGCATAATACGTTTGAACTCAAAAGTTTGTGGCTAGATAACATTTTGAGATTTTAACTGAAGATTTTTCTTTTTTAGATCAAAAATTGTTCCTTTATTACTGATACAGCTGTTTAAAGAACATAGCATTTTGTTTGTTTGTTTTTTAGACTTGGAGCCGAGTGCCATTACCAAGTACATTACTACCTGAATTAGACATACTCAGCCGCCGGCACAGTTGGAAAACCTTGAGTCCCTGCCCACTTCCGTTTCCTGGGAGAAGTCCCTTTTATCACAGGGCAAACTGTAGATCAGAACACATTCTCCCCGCCTAATAGGCAGATCCCAACAGATAAAGGGAGAAAGTTGCTGAGCCGAGCTGAGCCTGTCTACTTCCTTCTCCCAAATTCACCAATGAGATAAGTTAGTGGAGGAGAGAAAGCAAGGATGAAGAATACATGCTCCCCATAAGAGTTTTGCCAAACTGGAGCAGATCCAAGGATCTTTCCTGAGGAAAATGTTGTCCCTCCCCAAAGGAATGACCCCATCCTACCTCTGTGTGAAAATGGAAAGGCCCTCAAAGCACAGACAGCATAAGCCCATTTTTTCCAGAATAAAATATCATTCTTACTAACTACATACTTAGGTTTTTAAGTATACATATTTATTTTCCATCAATAACACAAATTAACTACATTTTAGGCAATATCCTGCATTTTTTGGTTCCCTTTTCTCTCTCCCCATCCAATCATCAACATTCACTGACTCCAGAAGGGACGATGCCTCCCCTACAAAGCCTAAATTCTGCAGCCTGAGTCCTGAAAGACTCTGGCCATCAAGGTGATGACTTGATCAATCCATTTGGAAGAATTTGAGAGACTAGTATAATAATGTTCACAAAATGTAAATGTTCAAAAAACTATAAACAACTCAAATGTCGGATGATAGGAAAATGGATAAATGGTGGTAAAAAAATGTGGTGAAATCGGGAGAAAATTATGAAAGGTTAGCCTGGGCAAGAAAAATGGGGTGGAAAAGACTTAGAAGTCTTCATTTTAAAAATTTACTTGACTGAGACCGACTTGAAAGGTCCAGGTGTTGTTCTCCCATATTGATTGTTGGCTGCCCCAGGGCTATTTTTGGCTGCTCTAGTTGACTATTCTGACGACAAGCATAGTTAACTGTTGTCATTATTCATGGCTTTTTCTGAACCAGGCACAGTGCTGAGCACTTTACATGCATTATCTCATTTAATCCATGTGAGACGGGTACCCTTGAATTAAGCTTAGTGAGTTTAAGTAACTTGCCCAATGCCATGCAGCTAGTAAGTGGCAGAGTCAGAATTAATTCCATGACTCCAGAACATATCATATGCTCTATCACCTCCCAGGCTACTCTATAAGTTGGGTTCGTGTTTTTTCTTTCCTATGTTATGCCAGGAGCCCAAATCATGACCAATGGAAAAGGGTCCTTGTCCTGGGTGGGACCAGACACTAGGAAAAGTTCATTTCCCAGGACACACTCTGAAAGGAGGTCTTCTTCTGAAGTTCATGTACATGGCAGAGACTGCTAGCTGCTCTGCTTCTCCCTTTAGCAAGGATTCCTCTACTTTGGCTGAACATATAGCCACCCCAAATAAAATCTATATTTCACAGCCTATCCACAAATAGATTTGGCCCGTGACTAAGTTTTAGCCAATGAGATACAAGTGCGAGTAATATGTGCAACTTTGGATTACATCCTTAATGAAAGGCTTGCCCTCTGCTTCCCCTCTTTCACTTCCTGCTTGCTGAAACACAGATTTGATAGCTGGGGCCGAAGCAGCTACCTTGGACCATGAGATAGAAGACCAGAATTGATAATGGTAAAACAACAGGCAGAAGGAGCCTGCATTGTAATAACAACTCTGATGGCCAACCCAGACTTGAGAAGTGGACTTCTGTTTTTCTTAAGCTAATATTATTGGGGTCTCCCTGATTTGACAGTTCATCTGATATTGCAAATATAAGTCCTCCCAAATGTTCCCCCTCACAAAGTTGGTGGAATAGATAATGGTAGGACAGGTAGTCTCAGTAATAGGAATCTGTCCCCTTCTGCATGTGCAGTCAGGTATGACTTCATGAGGCAGGTTCCCTCAGAATTCCCCAGGTTATAATAATGTTTTTTTGAAACAAAAATCATTTCTAGATAAAGTGATTAAATTCAGGTGCATATGTGCTCTTGACCCAACTTTTCTTAGCTTGACTCTTGAAAAACAGTGTTAAAATATAATATTTTTTAAGTAGTAACAAGAATTAGGATAAACTCCAGAGCTGCTGCTTCTGAGAAAAAAGGTAAAATTTAAGGTTATCACAGATCATTGTTTTCCAACCAACGTGTTGATCATACCAGTGGTATATGAAGATCCAAGTCATGAGTGAGGATTTCCAGTTGCTCGTTCTTATTCCCTACCTGTACTATTTGTAGACTGTTTCTATCTCTGTGTCTTGCACCCTTTCTTGACATAACCATAGCTGGCAAATCAGAACTCTATTGCAGGTTTGCTTTGAGGACAGTTCTCTTCTTTACCCTACCTTAATAGCCAAGCAGCCACAGCTATAATTTGTTCTGACATAAATGCATTCTTTATGACTCCCATCAATTTCTGTTATTAGATGTGGTTTCCCTTCATTTCCATTGGCACCTCTGCATCATATATTATTCTAGATAGCTCATAGCGCCTTTGGAAAGTCACAAATGTAATTCAGGAAAAATATATTCCTGGAAATTCCTCTGATGGACCTGATGATTTCCATGTAGGTAAGTGGAGAAACTCTTAATACAACAGGGGCCTGCACCTTTGTCTTGGGATCCACAGAGAAGGGAGGATTTTTGAGTTTGTAACCACCATGCAGATAGACTTGGCCTGAGAAGGCTTTCAATAGGCAGAGTGGATGTGTGAGAGCCCAGAGGGGAGGTGTACCATCTGGGACTTTGGGGCCTGTGGCAAAGAAGAGGAAGTACAGAAATGCTAATGAGGGATGAGGGGTCTGAGCTGGGCCCTAGGCGGATAGTTGAAAGGCCAGAGCAGAGTCCTTGATCCAGTTGTTTCAAGATACACTCACCCAGTGGGTCAGCTTTTCCATCCTTGTCTGGAACTGTGAACACTCCCACGACTCGGTGGCCCTCTTTGCAGAGGTGGCTATAGACTTCCTGTCCGAAGAGGCTCTGACCAATAAGTGCCACCTTCAGCTTGTTTTTGAAATAAACCTGTGAAATGATCAATGATGACAGATGTTGGCATGGATGGAAGACATATGGATAATAAACATTCTTTTTTCAATTGTACAAGATGACTTGAGGACTACAAAAGGCTCAAAGATCTATAAAATAAAGTTTTTATTGACATACACTGAACCCAGACTACATTACGTAGAGAGGGTAGTGAAAATAATTTCACACTTCAGTATTCCTCCTTTTCCATTTTCTCTAATGCCCTTGATTATTCATTATAATTATTGGGATTGCATATATTTTTACAAGCCACTTCAACTCCTTAGTGAAATGAGGCTAGATGTTAACACATAAGTGCAGGTTTCATAGTTAAAATGAGTTTAACTCTGAGCAAGATCTACTTCAATAAGACAATGCTTTTATGCCCCTGCAATATAGAAATAAGAAATAAGTAATGGACTCATCTCCTGCCTCCAAAAGAGGCCAAGAGCTAACACCTAGTATAACAGAGAGGTCAAAAGCAGGCCCTAGAGCTTTTGAGCTTTTGACCTAGAGGTCAAAACCCAGTGCCACCTCTTATTAGTTGTGTGGCCTTAAATAAGTAACTAACTTCTGTTTGCCTTTTTTTCCCTCATCTGTAAAATGGGAATAATAATAACAGCAACCTCACACAATTTTGATTGAAGTAGATGACATAATATGCAGTAGGCTTAATACAGCGTCTGACACAAAGCACTGTTTAAGTAAAAGCTTAAATAACGTTTTAAAGGATTTGCCATATACTAGACACTGTTCTATGTTTTTTCATATAGTCCAGAATTCCAAAATCCTTGGTAAGTGGCCCAAACTCATTTGGCCTCAAAACATGGATTGATCTAATAGAATGTTTCTTATAGGTTTCTTATAAGTTTGTACAAACTCATTTGGCTTCCAAACCTGACCTGAATTGACATAATGCTATTTATAGTCTTTATAAAAACTATATGATCCTCAGCAAAAAGAGGAGGATCGGCATCGGATGTTAGCTCGGGGCTGATCTTCCTCACACACACAAAAAATAATAAATTAATTTAAAAAAACCTATATGAATATTCATACGTTTTACTGCATAAAAATCAATGTGTTTGGTTACAGATACTGTCCTAGACCCTGCTGTGAATTGTATGTAATGTACTATCTATATACCATATTAACTTTCTAAAATGTGAATAATTCCGAATCTCAAAACACATTTGGCCCCCACAAGTCTCAGATAAGGAATTAAGGCTTGCACATCATTTCATGTAATTTGATCCACACAACTATCATATTTTATTATCCCCCATTTTGCACCATTTTATGAATGAAGAAACAAAAGCTTAGAAATGTCAAGTACATCTCTAAGGTCATACTGGCTAAAAGAGGGAGAGCTGGGATTTGAATCCAGGTCTGTCTGACTCCAAAGCCCACGTATGTCCCTAAAAATAAAATAATTAAAATGAGCTACCACCACCTATCTCTTCCATCTTCTTTTTAGAAGATTAACACTGATGCATAGAAATACAGTGATTATCAAGAAATATAAACACCATATAGATAAGAGTAGCACTAAAGGGGTTGAAGTTTTTAAGAAATTTAAGTCTTTAAGCAATTATACCTTATGTAAATTCTCCCAAAAGGAAGCCTTTTCACAATGCTTAAGGTAACATGTTGACATGATGATTGTTAAGACAGTGATGAAAAGCTATCAGGTGAAGCAGACTAGACACAGGATTGTGGGTGTAGAGACGGTAATCAGAGGGTCACGACTTCCTGTGTGCTTCCCATCTTGGTAACAGACCAACCTCAGCTCCCCAGAACTCTTTCCACCTTTCATTCCTCTATGTTAGAATATGGCTGCACAGGATTTGGATTTAGAATTTTTTTCCCTTCAATCTAAATGAGATTCTTTAATGATCTGGAAGGTCACTCTAAATTAGTAAAGCCTCACTGAAAATCTAACTTGAGGAAACAATTTTCTCTTGTTTTCCATTCTATTAAGGGCATAGATGTCATCCCTTTTTAGGCATTAACTTAAAAGCATGTGAGTTCACACTTTCCCTGCAATTGAGCCGATAATTAAACAATTAAGGTTTTACTTTAAAAAATCCTTTTCCAGGGCCAGCCAAAGTTTCTATCTCAAAAGAGCCTAGAGCTTCAACATCTAGTAGACACTTGCAAGCAAACATAAACTCTGTAACCGCAGCACAATTTGTCTACATACAATGCATAACTATTTCCTCTCGTCAAAAAATCAAAATATCCTGTAAATAGTCTCTCTTCAGATCCTATAATTAATGCTGTTGCTTGAAAAAGAACCAACAAGTTGGCTTTCTTAAAAAATTTGGCTTTACCTCATACCATTACCAATGCTAGATATTTTAAGACATCTAAAATACTACTCTTAAAACACACAAGAGCCAAGAGGCTGAGCTGACTCGAACGTAACGTGCTGCTCAGCTGTTATCT